AACATTTAAATAGAATTAAAAGCTTTGCACAGGAATGCTTGAAATGCTTATGAGTTAGACTGTGTGAGAACCCATTCTGTGCTTCTGGCAGATTTTCAGGAAAGCTTAACCCTCTGTTTCTTGAAGCTATGATGTGCTCTGTTCCAACAACACAGAAGCTAAACTCACACCGCCTCTTGGGAACACAGCTTATTAAGATAGAAGAGCTACAGACTGGGATTTTCTTGTGCTTTGGAAAGAGAGCTTGACAAGGGGTCACAGTCCCCCCCCTATTTGAACAAATGCAGTAATCAAACTGGGAGGGGAACTTGCTAAAGCCGTAATGAAGTATAGGTAAGTTAAAACAAAACCCAAAAGCAAGTTAGAGGAAGAAGGATGTTTAAGGAGGAATGTTGAATTATGGAGGTTAATTATGACAGGAATAATTTACTTCTGCTCATCTTAAATCAGACATATAAACATGTTATCAAGGAATTCAGCTTTCAGTTACCTTTTACGATTTTTCTGAGAACTCCCAGCTAAATGTGATATTTTTCTTTTTTAAGTGTTATTATGCAAGTATTTGAGAAATTTGTATTTAATTTCAGTTGCCTTTTACAGTTTGGTTTCTTTATAACCCAGGTAAAGATAATTTTTATTAAAAAAATTGTTGCTAAGTAGTTGAAAAATTTGAACAAATCAATTAAAAAGGCAATCAGCTAATTTGTTTCCTTTTCCTTTTGATCCTTAGCACTGCGAATATGTGAAAATAAACACATATCTATATATTTGAATGCATGTATGTGTATGTATACAGAATGCACATATATATTATGCATGCATGTGTATGCTAAAGCTTTTATGACTGATATGGTGATCACAGTGGTGCTTACTGCTCAAGTAATAAATCTGTTCTTGATCTAGAATTTTTGTTAGAGTTCGCTTTTAAATAAGTGGTTCCCATCACTTCATGGATGAATCTTCATTTTCAGATATTTGAGGATCAGTTGAATGCTTTGTGATTCAAGAAACCTGGTTAGGCTGGTCAACTTGCACTTACAAAACGAGGATATTCTAGGATGATTTGAGGACAAATTTGCTCTCCTGCTTGAGCACCTTATGCTTGGTTTCTCCTTTTCATCAGTCTGCCACGCATTTTCTTCCATAACGTTGAGTTCATGGATCAGTGTGGTAAATGAGGTAATGGACTAGCTAAGGGTAATGCTAAGGAAGATTGATGGCCAAAATATCAGTAGAAGCCTCAGGCTAAGACTGAACATATTAGAAGTGTAATATGTCTTATTAAAGCCATAAAGCAAGTGTTTAGAGTGGCTACAACGTGGAACAAATCTCCTTTAACAGATCAGTTTTGGGTAATGGATATTATTGTTAGTCTGGGCTGTTTCAACCTGATATCTCATTTCTATTTATTCTGTTTAGATTTTGTATGTAGACAGTTTTCTGTATTTGCCTCTATTAAGTAGACAAACAATTTTTCAGAAAACAAATACGCAATTTCTATATGATGTTTGCAGATGTGACTTTCAGAGTACTGGGACTGCAGCACTTTGGGATGCATTTGTTCTAGATAAATTTTTTTTTCGGAGAACTGTAGTTCTAGGTAGTAAACTAGGGAGCTGTAGCCTTAGATCTATTATTTAATCCCTTATCGCTGTCAGTTTTATGGGGGCAATACATTGATTCAATTGATGTAGGTTTCTTTTTAAGTTAGTGTTGAGGTTTAGGCTGAACCAGCCACTGGGCGAGCAACAGATGCTCCCTCCTACCCCTGTTCAAAGAGAGAGGCAGAGGAGGGAAAAAGAGACTTATGGGTTTAGAAGGAACTAAACTATAATGAAATATTAATAATAAAACAAAAGGGAAATAATGAAATATATATATGTCCTGGTTTGAGCGACACAGGACTAATTTCTCTTCTAATACGTGGGAAGACTGCACTTTTAGAAGACTCTAGTGTCTGAATCTGTGAAAATATTTACTTCATAGCCAGCTATGATGTGTGGGTTTCAAGGTCCCAGTGTTTTTGAGCTTCCCAGGTGCAGGGATGAGGAGGAGAAAGACCTGAGCACTTGACCCAAGCTGGCCAACAGGGTTATTTCATACCATGAACGTCACATTCACTATAAATTAGAAAGTTTGCTGTGAAGTTCTCTCTCTCCCTTGATGGCTGCCATCCTGAGAACTTTGTGCCTTGGTGCTGGACCCCCAAGGCCTTCCCTTCCTCCTGAGGCCACAGCGCTCGCAGTGTCTGACATTTGCTGTCCGCTGCTGGGAGTGCACGGCTTCCTACTGATAGAATTGGCTGAGTATAATCTTTGCATATTCTGTATTGGTATCAGGATCAATATTGGTTCTTTAGTGCTATTAATGTTAATTATCTGGTCTTACTCTATTAAATCTGTTTATACCTCAACTTCTGGGATTCCTTGTTTTTTTCCCAATTCCCTTTCCTGGGTGGGAAGGGCTCATCGGGTGATAGAATGATTGTCCAAACAACAATAAATTGTTATGGGTTTCTCAAACCGTAACAATACAAAACCGTATCAAGCTCCCAGGATGACAGTCATGTCACCGGCTGGCACTGGGGAAGTCCCAGACTGGATTCAATGACAGATGGGAACTGGATTCCAGATCTGGATTCAGGATCGGGATCAAAGGCAGAGGAACAGGCAGAGTACTCCTCGGACGTCGGCCGGTGAAGAAAGAGAGAGCTGACCCTTTGGTCCTTCAGCTTTTATACTGAGCATGAGGCAGATGGGATGGAATACCCTGTTGGTCAGTTTTGGGTCTCCTGTCCTGTCCACTCCTCCCACAGGTGGGACCCCTCTACGCTTTTCCACTTCTGACCCTCCAACGGGGCAAGTAACAAAGTTATCTGCCCTTGGGTGTTATAGCAGTAAGTATAAGCAGAGCCTCTCTGCATACCATGCCTGGGCATCAGCTATAAACACAGGTCTTATCACTCTGAGAGCGAACAGTGTCTGCACAATATGCTGTTAATTTCAGTAGTTAGAAGAGGCCCAGCTAAAAAAGTAAAGTTACTGAACAAAATTGGTCATGTTTTACCTCAAACCAGGACAGTCAGAAATCAGGATTTTTTGCCTTTCATGTAAGGTGTTGTGCATTTTCATCCTTCTAAAAAAGTTGAATAGTCTGCTACGTTGAGCTTTCTTTCATTCTGAATTCTTTGGTGGTTGCTTTACTCATTCTCTGCTTGCTGGCCAAGAGAAAATTCCCTTTAGAGCTATTTATGAAGTTACATAGATATTTTTTTCTTGCAAAAATAAATTTTTGGGCATAGATTAAGGTTATGTATGAAAGGAGGTTGTATTTAGGAACCTTGATGGGTAAGCTTATCTGATTTGCAATAGGGGGAAAAACAAAAGGTATTTCTAAATAATGGGAATACTGTGAAACAAAGAATAGTCAGACTTGAAGGACAGAAATAGAGCAATTGGAGAGAACTGTTCAGAGAACTAGAATAGTTGCAAGTGAAATTAGGGACTTAAATTAAGAAGCTCAAGCCAAAACATGAATACTTTTATAAATCTAAAGTATAAGTCCCTTATAAATATAAAATAGCTTTTTAGTCTGGTTTCCCAAGGCCATTAAGCTGCTTTCTCCCTCAGTAACTGTTGAACCCTGATGACCGGTTTCATCAAGACTTTACTGAAGCGTAACAATTTCAAAGACCGTTAATCTGGTGCGCATTTTGTGACTCTCAGGAGTCTAAGGAATGAATCCCAAACTTATTTCCCAGCTAAAACAGGGAAACCCGCTGCTGCTGGTGCTCTTTCCATTTGTCGGCAGCTGAAGAGACAGCAAGATTCGTGTATTGGCCGGCCTGTTGGCAAGCGTGTAGTTGAAAATTAGTTAGTGCATGGGTTACTCTACAGTAGCATAGAACTTGCCAACTCTTGCCTCACTGTGTTTTAGTAGATGACTTCAAGGGAACAGAGGTTATAGTGGTGGATACTGAAAGGAAAATAGCAGAGAAATTCTTGGGAAACCATGATTTCTTGGGTCTTATTGCTTGCAGAACTGACTTCTGATGTGGAAAAGAATTTTGGATTCCCAGTAGAAGTGCTTAATCCTATTTTCTTCAAATTTATTTATTCATTTATGTTTATACATGGGTGTACTTGTCTTGCAGTGGTGCGATGAAAGATTCAACTTCCAAGCTACGTTTTTACAGTGCTTGGCAAAACATGTGCCAAATATTTACTCAGCTGAAATGGACCCCTTGCTGGAGAAACAGGAAGAAATGGTCCAGGCAGCAATATTATACCCCCTGGAATGTTATTTGTTTGGGGAAGACCCAGATATGTTCCTGGAGAAACTACAACAGAGTGGAACCTCCCAGCTCTGTGGGAAGGTGTTCAAAGGAGGGGAGACAACATACTCTTGCAGGTAAGGAAGTAGGCATGTTATCATGAATGTTCCCATGTGAGATAATGCAGCAAAATGGTTTAATAAAATTAGTTGCGCTGCTAACTAGTCATTGCTTGTGTCACAGGAGGTCTTTGCTTAACTGACAGTGGCATTTGTTTCACATTTTGAACCACTTTAGAGTGAGGAAAATTGCATATGAAAAGTGGGCTCTGGCAGAGAAATGGGGAAGGAAATGGAAAGGATAATAAAGGTACTGAAAGCCATTGATTAAAAACATGGGATGATAGGGTGTGAGTGTGGGGTCTGTACCTGAACTGAGGGAGAACAGGCATAAAAATCTGTGTGCTCTACAGTACTTACCCTTTCAAAGTCTGAAACAGAATCCAGCATTTCTGACCATCATCAGTCCTTTGTTTAAGCAATAGCTGTGTGACCAATGGTTAATTTTTTCGCCTTCTTTCTCATTCTGGAGTATATTAAAGATGGCAGCCCATTAGTTTGATAGAATTTATTTTATTAATTCATGTAAATATGAACGTATTAATATTATATATTAATATTAAAAAGCCAGAGGTCTTTGTAGTGAATGTAAAGATTGTAACTGTGGTGGCAATTCATTAGTATTAATATGGTGCTATTGTCATAGTTTATTGTAGTTTTCAGCTTATTGTAAAAGCCTAGAAAATGTCATCAGAAATATCAAAAGACTATTGTTGAGGATGAAGAATATTATTATGGCTTAAAAATCCAGCCTTTAGAATTTAGGAAATGTTAAAATGAAACCTCTTTGTAAACTTTATGTTTATGAATTACACTGTAAGGTTTTAATCGATCACATATTCTTCAGCTTTTTCTAGGAATAAGTTAATATTGTGTATGAAAGGAGAATGGTCTTTGAAGAAGTCCTTAAGTGTTTGCTAGAAAGTGTATAGTGAATGTAACATTGGATTGTACGAAGAAAAAGGATGGTCAAGGCAGTTTAATTCTGTTTCTACTTCTGCAGAGTTCTTGTATGATAGTAGGAAAAAGATGATTTTTGGTAATAAATGACTGTTACTGAAGTATTAAATTTCTGTAATGATAATCTAAAGGTTGGAAAGGAAATTCATTCTGTAATCAGAATTACCATACTGTTCTAGTCCTTTACAGTAGCAAAGGAGACTTGAAGTAGATGTTGAACAATGGTATACAACAAAAAACTTGATATTAAACACCTGCCATCCACATTTTGCATAGAATGAAACCGCATTTAAAGAAAAAAAACTGACCATATTTTAGGGGAAATAAAGCAATGCAAAAAAGCATATTTATGTGGAGCATAGAGAAAAATGGAATTAAATTGCCTATGAGTGTAATTCTGGATTTTCAGGTATTTGAGTGCATGACTGAAACTGTTGAAATTACATTTCAAAGTATAGAGTCTTTGGCTCATTTCATAAAGAAATTCTCCTTAGATCTTCTAACTGTTTTAAAAGTTAGAAGTAGAAACATAATCTAGCAGAAGTGTAGCAAAAGTTTCATTAGCAAACTGGCTGCAGTAGTTGGAAACAATAATAAAGGTTAGTTCAGAGTCATCATGCTTTTTAATAGCTGCTTATCCTTAGCAAAACCAGAAATATGTTATCAACAAGTTTTGAAAGTGGAAATCAAGCATGTTTCTGATAGAATCTGATATAATAGGTTCGAGTACATGGTTCAAGCCTAACAAGATTGGCTTTCGTCTTCCTTCTGTCACATGAAGTAGCTAATGTTTTCATAATTTGGATCTGTTGTTAATCTCAATTATTTTTTCAGAACAGCATTTTCTTTTGTGTGTGAAATTTCATGTGTTTGTTTTAGAAACTTTTCCACTTACCGTTTTTGTTGCAGAGACTGTGCAGTTGATCCAACTTGTGTACTCTGTATGGACTGCTTCCAGAATAGCATTCACAAGAACCACCGGTACAAGGTAGAAAAATTTTATATTAAGAAATTGTACTTGTAGCTTTAGAGGAAGATTTTTTTTTTTTTGAGGATATGGTAAACTGCATATAGACCATTAGTAATTTTTAATTTAAAAAAATCTGGGTTTTACTAATTATTTAATTCTCTCTCATGTTTCTAACTACGTAAAACCTCTTTTAAGAATAGTAACTTCCTATCTCATTCAAGAGCCAAAGGTAAGGGAATGTTTATGAATGCATACAATTGTTACTCTCTGACAATATCACAGAAGTGTATGTCAGAGCAAAAAGCTGTCACTGAAAATGACAGTCCTGTCCTGAGTTCCAGTCAGTACTGTTTGGAAATTGAGAATAAGTGTGAGTATACAAAGGCCGTTACTTCAGCAGTTACTGATGCAGTCTCTACATTTCCAGTCTGTTCCTCCGTTTAGATTTGCATAAACTACTTTGTGCTTAGTGTGAACTATGATAAAGTTAAAAGAAATGTTAGGCATCAATTTTTTATTGCGGAGGTTGTTCTAGAATTGGATCATCTTTCTGATATCCTTTTGATTCTCTTTGAGCCAAATCTATGTTATCTCTGAGAGATTCCCATGCTTTAAATAAAGAACGATATTTCAAATAATTCTTAGCTAACTCACTGCTTAAACCGTCATCTACTGTTTCCTTCCGAGGTCCCCTTCTTTGCTTGTCCTCTTCACTGCGAACGCGGCAATTTCAGCAGCCTTGGAAGCAGAAATGGAAAACAACATATTAAGTGTAATTTTTAAAGCTGATCTAAATGCTGCAGGAAGCAAGAAAATGTACAGAAACATTATTTATTCAATTTAATTAACTTTCACAACCAAAAAGTGGGCTAGATTTTTATTGCAGATATTCCTTCTGTTCATTGATGTGACATCCATTGAAGAGATTTGTCTTACTTGTATTATAAATTAGTCCTAAGTCCCCTTTAAGTGGGTACGTTTCAATGAGAGATGGTTTAGAAGAATCTCAAAATTAACTGGGACTAAAATACAAAATTCTGCGCCTCTGTATAAGTTTTTGTATACTGATCTGAAAATGTATTGTAAATATTGATTCAAAGATGGACAAAACTACTTAGATAATGCAGATATGACTTCCATACACACATGCACGCACACATGCGGTTTACAGAGAGGTAAGAGGAAAAAAAAAAGAGAACCAGGGAAAGAAGACAATAATGATTATACAGCAGTTTGGAATTACAGCTGGGCTGAGAAGCTGTTGTCCTTTCCCTGTTTTTCAGTAACTTCTTCAGGCAAAAATCAGCCCTGGAAATAGGTAGTCAGATGGGAGCAGATTTGCTGCATTTCCATTTTAAAGATGCAATCTACAGCATACAGATTATGCTCTTCATAGATCCATAGAATAATTTAGGTTGGAAGGGACCTAAGGAGGTCATCTAGTCCAACCTCCTGCTCCAAGCACATCTAATTAGATCAGGTAATTTAAAAATGTTTCAAGTAAATAACAAATTTTTGCATGTCTTTTTATCGGGCCAGTTAGTGTTTTTATAATTATTTTAGGATTGGGGATTTAGAGTAGGCTAAGGATAATTATTTTTGCCTGAGTTTTGTCTGAATTTTTTTCCAAAATGGTCAGAATTTGTAATGCAAAGTTAAAGTTGCAAGAATGTATTAGATGTTGATTATATCTTACTTTCTTTGGTTAGAAGTGGAGCTACTACTAAATGTCTGTTCAATATAACATATTCTTGTTTAGATTATTTTCAAACTTCACCAAATAATTTGTAAAGAAGGCATTAAGCACCTTTGCTATAATTTTGCTCATAAATCCAGAAATTATTATTTTGCCATTTATGAAGTGCTTATTGATCAGTCATAGGCTTTTTCACCTAGTTTCTAGGTAAATTTGCTTAAGACCTGCATACTTTTTTGCAATGGCAACTATATTTCCTCCTTTATTTTGTGCTTAAAAAGTTTACATTTTTCTCCCTGCTCCTCTGATAAGTCTCCTTTTTTCTAAAAAAAGAAAAAAAATGTTTTGGTAAGTCCTTTGGTTATGCAGTGACTCTTATATATTGTACGTAGGTATTTATACTTGTGTTTGACTTAAATAATGCCCGTTTCTGTTTTTCTCCTGCTTTTTATGTGCCTGTTTCATGACTGAAATATATGTTTTTTTACAGATGCATAGCTCCACTGGAGGTGGATTTTGTGACTGTGGGGATACAGAGGCATGGAAGGCTGGACCACTGTGTGCTAAACATGAGCCTGGAGCATCAGGTTCTGCAAAAGAAGTAAGAATATTGCTTAAAGTGAAAGAATAAATATAGTAAATATTGTCTTTTTTTTAAAAAAAAAAAGTTCTTATTCCTTTATATGAAAGTATGTACATTCATGTAGCAGGTCCAATTGAGTTGAATCAGGATTTCCTTGGTCGAGGTGTTTGGGGTCAAACATATATATTGGACATCCTTTGTCTCCAAAAATAAAAAAAAAGGGAAAAACTAGAAGAGTTCCATCTACCTGTCTTGTGCATTTCTGATTTTGATTAGGAATTAAAATTGCAGTCTCTCGCTCTTTTCTGTGCTATGTGTATTACTCAGTTTTTATTTACAAATAGTTGGTTTCCCAGTGGTTAGTAGATGTTTAGATACAGTACTTGAATTTAATAATATTTTCTCTTTTCCTCATTACTGGACAATTTTCTTTTGTCAGTTACTTCAGGTGTGTCATCTGTCACTATGACTAAAGTCCCCGTGCTTTAACCTCAGGATGTCTCAGGCTTATTCTACTACATAAAGCAGCATATTAATGAGAAATATGCCATTTTATAAGTAGTTTTCAAAACGAATGTAGGCGTATCAGTTGCTTCAGGTAAAATTGTTTCTTCCAAGTCCTACATTCAAAGATAATCAGTACAAAAAAACCCTTACCATTTGTCATTGCAAATAGACCTTTAATTCCTCCTGTTTGTGTTGTTTTTTTGGTGTTGTTTTTTTTTTTTTTTTCAAAAGAACTGTTTTTTATGATCTGGCAAAAAATCAAATGGAAAAGAAATAAAGAGCACTGGTCTTACAGAAAAATGAGATGAAGTTTTCCTTCACTTGTTCATCCTTCAAAAAACCATGAATCTTAATGGATTTCAGAAATAAAAATAGTTGAAGCTCCAAGAAAGGGTCATCTTATTATGATTTGCAGCTCGTCACAGTAGTGTTCACCTGCTTCTACTTCAGTAAAGTCTATTCTGCTGTGCAATGCTTATCCCTGAGTACTGAGCCATGTCGTATATATGTGCGGCTGATACCTACATATTACTTATGAAAACCTGTAATCAAAAGAACCAAATAGTTTCCACAATATTAGAATACCCCAAAATAGCTACGGTGTGATTAATTTTACTGTTGTCTGTCGCCATTGCCACGTATGTGTTCAATACGTTTTCCAGCATGTTCTAGAGGTACTTCCAGATTAAGAAACTACCACAGTTCCTCTTTCCTCATGTGTTCTGGAGGAAAATAGGTTTGTTTTTGTTTTTGTTTTTTTTTTTAATTCCTGGTACTGTTGATAAAAACATACGTGAAGGTAGAGAACTTGTGTGTCTACCAGCTTCAAAGCCACCTTTGGATATTATGGAAAACTAATATTACAAGATGCTCAGTATCAGACTTCTAGCTGATTGCTGAGAGGTCTGTATCATATCATGAAGAGAATTTAGCAATGGTCTGAAGACAGAATGTTCAGGTCTCAGTTGAGCATTAAGCGTTCTTCCACTTGAAAATTAGGTGTTTCCAGCCAAAGCATCTCAGTTGCTCCTAGATAAGTGATGTTACTTATGCCTCAGGTGACCAGTTTGTCCAGTTTATCTTGCAGGCAGTACCTGGCATGCATTATGGATTTCACCTGTGATGGCTCACAAAAAAAATCACACCAATACCTGGATGAATGTAGGCCTATGACGCACATTAAGAACTTTAACAAAGAGATTCTAAATGAAATAGATTGTATCTCCCAGGTTTAAAATTTAGGTCTCTGTGAGATTTTCTAACAGTTGTTTCAGCACTTTACTTTTGAGAATACTGTTATTTTTTGGTTCCAACAACTGACCAGAGTTCCTAAAATGGTTTATGCAATGTTTACTTCCCGCTGGGGAACCCGTTTCTCTGCAAGGTATAGATTTTGATCTCGCAGATCTGGTATTTGCATCTGTGACAGCATAGTCTGCTTTTTACCTCCCATTCCTTTAGAACAGCTTTTTCATAACAATAAAATAATTCAAAACAAAATGTTGGGAAAAACACCCAAACCTTTATCAAAATTTTACCAAAAAGCTGTTTTACTCTTGTTAAAATCACACTATCTGAATTTTGTGGGCTTTTTTCAAAACCGTATTCAAAGCTTGAGAGGAAACTGCATGCATTTAATCCACAGCATTTTATTTCTGTTTGGATGAAAATAAGCTGCTCAGAATATTGTTCAGGTCATTTGTATCCAACGTAGGTAAGGTTAAAGGGTAGATCATATCAATAATGACAGCAGGTACCACAGTATTTCTTGGTTTTAAACTTTGAGAACTGTAATCATACCTGTGATGATAAGGAAAAGGGGAACTTCCCTCCCATGCTTCTTTGAGTAATATTTCTATTCCAATCTCTGATAAGTTCTTTGGTTGGTTTGCAGTGAATCTGTTTGATTGTCACGTCTGTCACGGAGTTGTGCAAGTCCAAAGCTGTGTTACAACTGCTGTCAAATTAACTGGGACATACTCCCATACCTGAGAGTCCGGAATGATAGAAAACATATAATTAGACAATTACTTGGATTTGAAGAAGTAGAAAGTTACTACTTATAATGGTTCTTTGTTGTCAGTATATGTAGTTATTATACAGTCAGTATATATAGACTCTCCAGTAAAAGGGCAGAAGTACAACCACTACAATAATGAAATGGATCAGTATATTAATGTATACTATATATAACTATTTGATAGATTGCATTGCACGTTTCTGTTTTTATTAAAAGACTTGTCTGTCAGGGATTATTTATGATGAAGACCTCATAGTTTGTTCTCTTTTTTGAAAATCAAGGACACTCATAATGTAGGAATTTTCTCAGCATATAATGATTACTGAAAGAAATGAGTTGCAAAGTGCATTTGGAACAGGCATCTTGCATATTTCTTTTCCAGCATGTTTTCTGATAGTATAGAAGTTTATCACGTGCTTGTCAAACAAAAAGCACTCTTTTTGGAATGATTCTGACCAGTGTTCCTTTAATTACTCTTAAGTTCAGAGGATATAGCATGCTAGGGTGTTTATAAACTTATTCTGATCAGGTAGGAGCAAATAAGAGGATACGTTTGCAGTATGATTGTCTGCTGTGCAGAACATGGTAAAAATGTGCTTAGGAACTGGCAGCTGTTTTTAAAAGGTAGATTAAGTTTAAAGTTTGATCTACGGAACTACCTCCTCTTAATAAAGAGCCCTTAGTAGAGGACAGGTTTCAATCTGCAAGATGAAAGATAAGCACCAGAGTTTTTAGCATTTTGAGGTGAGCATTAGTAAAATACAGTACTCTAATAAAAATCCTAATTAAACCCTAGTTAAAAAAGAAAAAAGTTTCATAGTGAGGAGATTTTTACAAAACTTGTTGGTATGTAAGTAATATGGGGCTCAGAAAAGCAATCCTTTGTTTTAGAATCTCCAATCCAGGCTTTTAGGAGTCATCCATTCCCTATTGATTCTAAATTAATGTCTTCACTATGCCAGAAATATAAAAATCATTTTGCCTGAATGTATCCTTAATACTGGATAATTTTAAGAATTTGTGTCTGCGATGAGGTAAAAATACTTCCCAGGCACATTTGTTTTATAAAAAAAAAAAAAAAAAAAAAAAAAAAAAAAAGAAAAAAAAGAAAAAAATTTGGTTGTTAGTCATTTTTAAACTTTGATATCTGAACACACTTTATTCGTTCTTCCACAATAACGATGTTTGAAACTTTACCCGAAGCTTAAATAATTATACGTTTTGGGGCATAGTTCTGAGGAATTTTTCTTTTTACCCTTTCAGTTTATGTCGGATGTATCTTAATTTCACTTTACTGTCACTTCTATTAATGTGGATACCATTGGAGGTGGCATTGCATCATTTAACTTTCCACTACTCATATGAGTGCAATCCCCACTTCTAATAATTTATAAATAGTTCGGTGTGATTTCCTTTGATTTCTTCTACAGACTGAAGGACAGCAGCATGTTTTATTACAAGGTTCTTGTTTGGAGTATCTCTATACACAACTTTACATTTCTTCCAGCTCTGTCATTTTTGCTTAACATATGTTAATGCTTAAAAAGCCAAACTCTAAAGAAACACTGGGGAAAAAAATAGTGTATTTACAACTGGGTTCAGTTAGATTATTCTTAGCACTTTAGGTTTTTTCATTCTGCTCCAAACTTTAAGATAATGATAGCTTTGTCAGTCTGGGGAAAAAAAAATAATTAGCCGAGACATTTACTTTCTTAATTACCAAGATCTACCAGAGGTTTGTCCAAAGTTAAGTATGTACACACAGTGATATTTATAGACCATGATTTCATTGGCAGACATTTTAGATTGTATGTTTGGATCCTAATTATTCTTCTAATGCTTAACAGGTCAGAAAACGATTGTTCAGAGCTTTGGAAGCAATTGGCCATGTTAAGAGATTTTTACTTCTCTTCCACTACATTTTTAGCATTTCCATCACATGGACACAACATGATTTTACTTCTTTTTTTTTTTTTTAAATGCTTCATAAATGGATAAATGTGACTGTATAGTTGATTTAAGGATTTTTGAAAAACACGATTCTAAGCTATATTAAACACATCGCTCTTTCTGTGCTTTTATATTTAACATCTGTCACATTGTGTATTGCAGAGTTGAGTGCCCTTAGTGTTTTGGGATAAAAAGTCACCTGTGAAAAGCTTTATTCTTGGAAAGGATTCTGTGTTTCTCATCTTTTCTCACTCTGGCAAACACATTCAGATTTTGTAGTCAGTTTGGGTGATCCTAAAATTATAGGAAACTATGTGTAAATACTGTAGAAAATATGAGCCTCTGTTTCTGTGTCATATTTGTATATAAAATGTCTGGATTCGTTTGTGTTACGTGGAGTATGGAAAAGGTCACTGGAGCCTTTGGATGAAAGGCCTCTTTTCACACGATGTCATTGCAATGTATTGATGTCTTGTACCTGAATATTGATTGCTTCATTCTTAAGTGCAGATTTGGTAATGATTTTCTTTGTTTATAACCTTTAATTTCTCTCCTGCTTAAATGCTTATGGAAGGGATTAATAATGTTCTATGATATAGACAATTCACTTAGTGAGCTTTATCTGGGTGGATGGGAAATACATCAGTTCACAGTGATATTTTTGAATGGTGTCTAAATATGGGATGGGATCTCTGAGAAGAACAGTTAGGTTCTCTTGGATGATTCTGTTTAAGGAGTGTCACAAATGTTTGACAGAATACCTGCACAGAAAAGCAAGCAATGCAGGGGAATAATTTTGGTCTGGACTGCAAACTTTTAATATCATCAGGTGTACAGAAAGCTGCTAACCAGCTTAAGTTAAGTTTAAAAAAAAATAAAAATAATTGAAGTTTCCTAATGCATTTGGTGAGGCCTTTCATAGTCTATTCCAGGTGAAAATGTGATGCATATAAAAAGGTAGATGAAACTGTTGGAATACTACTGAGAGCCCTTGGGGTAAAATAATTTTGAAGAGAATAAATTAGGTGAGAATAATTTGCTTGAAAATAACGAGAAGGCTCTTTTCCTAAAACAAATATAGTAATAAGTTATTTGACCAACCCTTTTTTAATTTTTAAGTTTCTTTTCCATATTAATATTATCTCATGTTTTACAGAATTCTGAATGTCAGTTGAATGAAGAAATTATGGAGCACTCCAGAAGAGTGTTTCCCTCAGTGATAAAATATATTGTAGATATGCTTATATGGGAAGAAGAGAAGGAACTGCCTCCAGAGCTCACAATTAGGTAGGGACTGTTTCCAACTTTCTCTTCAAGGCATTAGAAACTTCGATAATAATTTTGCCTGTGGAATACTTAAAATCATGCAACTATATTAGTGCCAAAATCCCTGTAAACAGCACTGTATCATTTTTGATTTACAATTATATAGAGAAAAGCTTTTGATGCTTCATGGAAAAAGTAGTGTATAACTGTGCTCCATCAAAATGGAAAGAGACTGTTGTGCATCATGTTAAAAAGACAAATAGGATCTTTAAACAGCAGAAAGAAGAAATAGTAATGGAATAATCAAATAACTTAAAATGTCTTTTGTACTTGGTACATGATTTCTGTGGCTTATTCTGGTATAGATGGTGGGGAGATTTTGGGGTGTGTCTTTGACATGAAGAACACGCTTGATTTTCTTCTGTAATTTTTTTTGTGTTTGACGTTTCTCTCAAGCTGGTGAGTGAACTCTTGCTTGTATTGGATAGGACACGATTTATAATTTTACTTTTATTTATATGATGATCTGTTTGCTTTTTCCCAGTAGAGACAAGGTAGACAGCTACTACTGTGTCCTTTTCAATGATGAACATCATTCTTACGATCATGTCATCTATAGCCTGCAGAGGGCACTTGGCTGCGAGCTTGGCGAAGCCCAGTTGCATACTACTGCCATAGATAAAGAGGTTAGTGCATTCTGTATATGGGAGAAAGTAACTGTTTGATCGTTAAGTAGTGCTACTTTAGTCTGTTGATCATACAGTCTTTGTTTCTGGGATGCTGGAGCTTCATGAGACAGAAGGACAGAAGGACATGTTGCAGAGTAGCTGTTAATCAGCACTTGCTTCAAGAAAGTTTTTTAAAACTGAGTTAATTTTTTTCTTTGTGGCAAAACCCAGTTTCTTGAGAAAGGGAAGTTGCTCCTTTCCTGTTTTGCATATTTTCCTTACTTTTTTTTTCTTCTCGGTTGAGATTAATGTTTTATTTTAATGGTATTTGTCTGAAAAATACACAAGTCAGCAATATGCATACTTAGTTATATTTAGTCAGAAATGTACCTTACATTTTGGAAGAGTTAGTGCTCGTTCTTGCTCAGGCTTCATTTGAAAATCTTAAAACTTCAAATTAAAATCTTGAAACAAGCAAGAATCCATGAAAGAATGTGGGTGAACCTGACAACTTTGCTACATTTTTACATTTTTCAAATTAATGTCCCATGTAAAGACCTTACACTAGTAATGTAATTTTTTTTCCATTGGGTAAAAAAAACCCAACAAAACAAGCCCAAAACATGATCAGTGTTTGAATTATCTTAATTGAAACCATATTTTTTTACCTCACGAAAGTACAAAACTTGCATGGTTGCACATGGAGAAACTTTGTCTATAGCTGTATATGTATTTGTTGTATATTTACATATAAAACATCTTAGTAATATTAGTATCCTTTTTTAATATGTAAAACCAGTGTTTTCTTTTTGTGTTTCTCTTTGTTCAGGTAATGAAAGTTTATTTATATTTAGTTAGTAGTGTCAGTCTTATGTAATTACAAGGCTTGTCCAGCAGTTGTAGGTTTTTTTAAAATACGTATATACATGCATGCTTATAGAGTAACTTCTAAAGGTTTCCATTATGAAGGTTCCTTTTGATTGAAACCTGAATTGTAGAACCAGAGTTAATCTGATATTTAATCTGATATTTTGTTTTACAAAGCATCTGCTACAGCACAGGACTAGGTTATATTGTTTTAATTATAACAGTTCGACAACACACAGCTACTTCTCTTCCTGTGTGAAATTCTGCTGTGTGGAGAACTTGTTTTGGAAGTCCCTACCTCTGATTTCCTTTGAGTGGAATTTGAGGTCTAAGCTGTACCAGTTCTTGGCTTTATTGAAAGAAATATCAAACCCATGCTTATAATATACCCTGCTATTTCATACACAGAAGTAAGAAATAGTAGGAAAGATTATGGAAAAGCAATTCAGGATGAGTGTACTTTGTGCTAGGAAGAGAGTTGATGTAGTTTGTATTTAAACTACTGTGCAGAAGTCCCTCTCATCTATTTTAGCCTGTACATGAATGTTCCTTATCTAATAATATTAAGTTACCCAGACTTTGCTTTGTTGTTCTGTTGTTAATTTAATTAAAATAGTTTGGGTTTTTTCTTTTTTTCCTAAAGGTAATCATGTTAATTTGGATTTGCCTCTAGATGTCTAAAACCACCGTGAGTGATGTTGGTCACTGTTTTTCTTTTCTGTATAAAAAAACATAGCAAGGATCAGGCTTGTGACATTTTGGTTTCGTTTTATATTGGTTTCATGCTTAATATTTTCTTTAAAAAGGGTCGTAGAGCTGTCAAGGCAGGACATTATACCTCATGTCAGGAAGCAAAAGAAGAAATCAAGGTAACTTCCTAAAATATTTTTTCACTTAAAAACCAAGCAAGTCAACCTCATCATTATTAATACTGAAGACTTATTTGTCTGCTGTACAGTTTTTAACTTAGTACTTCCATGCTTTTATACCCTGCCTGTGAACTTTATGAAATTGAATTTATCCAATCACAATTGCTATAGACAGATAGATATCTTCAGAAATAAAATGTTAAACTGATTCCTTTTTTGTTAGCGTTTGCCATTAACATGTGCTTGGGAGAGGTAATGGGTGGTAAAGACAAATATGAAAATTCATGTTATCTTTATTTTATATCTACTAATATTTACCTGACTCCTAGAGGCATTCTGAAAATGTTTCTCAACGACCGCTTCATGTGGAGGTTCTGCATGCTGATGTTATGGCTCACCAGAAGTTTGCCTTGCGCCTTGGTTCTTGGCTGAACAAACTCATGAGCTATTCAAGTAAGCATAACTGATTTTTGTTATAATAATGTCATGTCAGTATTTGAATGACTAATTCTGTCAAAAAAATGTCTTTAGCTGTACTATATATGATATTCCCTTATTAAAATACTTTCACATTCCTCCTACTTAGTAAATAAATAATACAATAGTATGGGTGCCAATATCCATCAGTATCATTATGAATAGCAGTACTTTTCTGTTCCTTCTTGCTAAAATAAATGCCTTTCCCTGCTTGAGCTCTGTCTGATTCCCTAGCAGTTTTATTATTCTCAGTTTCAGCGTCATGCACCCTATTTCAGTGACAACTTTGCTTAAAAGCTGCTTTCCCCAGTGCTGGTGGAAAGCTGCAGAACATCTTCATCACTATAAAGCATACATCCTCTGCTTGAATTAATTCCTGCTTCAGATTTGATAGCTATGATTAATTAGATAGTGTCAGTAAAACAAACAAATAAAAGCTTTAATATAAAAAATTTGTCCAGTAGTGGAAAGTGTGTTTTAAGCTTTCAAACATTGTTCTGGTGTTTAATGATGCTCATGGTTCTAAATGTGACTTCTGGACCAATTGAATTTTGAGTTCTGTTACTGGGTTTTGTCATGCCTGTGTTTTCCCAAACTAAAGCCATTATAAAATTTGTTGTCACTATACAAATGAACATAAAGCTCTACTCTTTGCTTTTTCTCCTTCTTGACAGGGTAAATCCATTGGTCTGCTTTAGCTTCTTTTGTAAGCTTGGATAATAAAATTAATTTCTTTTTTTTTTTTCCCCTGAAGACTTACTTTCCAATCTTTCTCTTGAAATACATATATCGGAATTGTACCTTTTTTGTAATTCTTTACAGTATTTTATAAATTTTAGCTTTCTGTTCTTTTCAACTTTGTTTATTTCACTGATGGTATTTTCTTGCTGGTCTGAGTTCCTTAGACAGTTCTTTTAATTAGTACAAATTTTTGTCTGTGGTTTATTTCAACGTTTCTAGTGAAAGTTTGGGTTTTATCCACGTTTTTCTTTCTAGATAATTTTTTCTTATTTTCAGTTTTATGAGATTACTCTGTTTAAAATGCCAACTGACAGCTAATTATTCATCTGTTGACTGTGTGAGTATAGACGAGTTGGTGCCAGTGCCCCGGCAAATCCCCAGAATTACAGGTTTTTAAGCATTACCTTTTTAGCTGATGAGATAAGCTAAGATTAAACAGGATTCTCCCATGTTGGGTGTAGCATTTTGGGTTAGGAAATTGTTATAGGTTAACTGATACTTTAATATGTTTTATGAGAGTCTTCAAGCGCAAAGATTAAAGTTTAACATTCCTGTCCTTATTCTTCAGGATTGTATACATAGACACTTTAAAGGCCTGATGTTCTGTACACAGCTGGAACTTTTTGGTGGTCTGGTGGTTCCTGTTCTCTTCCTGGTGTTGCTTCAAGTGGGAGAGTACTGATCAAGAAGCATTCAATACTATTTATTTCCAGATTGTCAGGAACTTGATTCATGACGCTCTACTTTTCATTTTGAATTAGTAATGTAAGAGCTCATTTCTGAATGTTAGCAACCCATGGGTGACTGTGATACAGTGATCCCCCAAACTGCTTCACCAAGTACTGTATTTACTGATAGGTGCAACAAAATATAAAATAATATTCTGAAATTCTACAAAAGACTGACTTTCAGGGCCGAAGGCAGGGACCAGTGTAGACTTGCCTAGCCTGTGCATTTCTGTGCTGATATGCTGAACTCCTCTTATGGATCTGCTTTGCAAAGCTGTCTAAATGCTTTTTATTTTAAAATACTCTTTTATATCACTGGATTTATTACATAAAGTAGGTAAGAATAATAGGAAGGAGTTAGTAAGGGGAGGGTGCGTGGGAGTATGTTTACTGAGAAAAAACATTGTTAAAAATAATTCATTCTTAAGTGCCTTTTTTTTCCCCTTAAAGAACAGAATTCTGTAATTCTCATTTTGTTGGCTCATATAATTTAATTTATTGAAGCATTCTTGTACAAATGAATAGTTTTATCCCTATAGGTGACTTCCGCCAGATCTTTTGTCAAATATGCCTCAAAGAAGAAGCTGGATCTGAAACCCCATGCTTCATAAGCAAGTTGATGCTATGGGATGCAAAACTTCATAAAGGTTTGTGTATCCATGTTGCTGTAAACTGAAAAGGCAAATTAATTTTTCATGTGTGTAATAAATGTGTAAAAGTAAATAAGTGCTATGCAGGTGTAGTTAACATTTCTTTATAGTTTTTATATTACGCTTTACGCTTTTTCAAACAACCTTTGTTTTTACATCTGAGATAATTGGTATTTTGAGTATGTATATGCCTCCTAAATTTTTCCTGCTTTATGGGTTCTAAAGAATCTTTTCTCAAGACGTAACGTGACTATGAGTGACTCTGCTTATCCTGTGTTTTAAATACATACCAATAAATGTTAAAAACAGAAAAAAACCCCACCACCTCACAACTTTCTTCATATACTTCGTAACCATTTCAAGGCTTTTAATGATTTTTAATTATAACTTAATAAGCTGTTCCTCTTTTCCACAAAAAGCTGCATCTTAGTACAATAAAGTGATGTGCATTGTATTGGCTTTTCACAGGGGCAAGGAAGGTTCTGCATGAACTTATCTTCAGTAGTTTTTTCATGGAAATGGAATACAAAAAGCTTTTTGCTGTGGAATTTGTGAAGGTAAATGGTTATTTGTTTTTTATGCTATGAATTTTTACTAGCTTTGTAAAATTAATCCCAAACCTGAAAATTGTTTCAATATAATGAATTTTCAAGAAGCAGAGCTTCAACAGCTAGCTTAGCCTGTATGGAGTGTATTAATTCCAACGTCACTGGTTTGTTCCTTATAATTATGTAGGTACACATGCTCATTTTGAATGCAGAATTGTTAGTATTCTGTGTATCTTTTGAAATGGCAGATGAACCGCAACTGGTCCTTCTTTTTAAAAATTAGAAACAATAGTTAAGAAATACACAAAACATAGGACCAAGAATGTTTTATTGTAGAGTGAGATTTTTAAATCCGGATAAAGGTGACTGACACTTATGGTTTTCTCTGGACTGAAACAAAGGAAACAAAGGCTTACATTACCCATTGTACACATCTTCTAGACAGCTGTTGAATAACTATCCATGCAGCTCACTGCAGGAGGAAGACTTGTTTTGTAATAAGTTAATGTCTTTATTGATCCTTTTTTCAGGCATTTGATTTCTTTTCTTGGGAGAGATTGGTTGTAGGAGGAAAAAAATTTTGGTTTTGATCTGGCAGAACAATTAAACTAGTGCTTGTCTTCAGTATTAAGGCAGTGGGGACATAATCGCTTTGGTGCATTGAGGACATTGTTCTGTTCATGTTGTTTGAACTCCTATTAGAAGGGAAGAAGGACATTGAGCTGTAATTCTTGCAAATAAAAAAGTAAACATTTTTAGTTAACACTTGTTTTATTTATTTAGTTTCCCCAATATTCTTTTTTCCTAGTATTACAAGGCGTTGCAAAAAGAATACATCAGCGATGATCACGACAGAGTTCTCTCTGTGACAGCACTTTCAGTTCAGATGTTCACTGTACCCACTCTGGTATGTACAGCCTGTCTCCACTAGAAATGTAGAATAAATTTGAGAATTGCTAGCAGTACCACCTTTGCAGACTGCTGTACTTGGCAGAGTCTTTTAGACATTGCTGAGTTGAAAATGTACGATTTTGAGATTTGTTAAGGCCAATATGAAAGCAGAAGCTTGTGTTCATGTGAAAATTGATTACAGAAGACAGAGGGAATGCAAATAAGTTTTAGGCAGCATCGTTCTCTGCATTAACTTTCTGTGTTCATTTACTGTTCAAACTTACATTCTTGTGTAACTTTGAAAACTTGGGAGGAGGGGGCAAAAAATGCATAAATGTTTTTTTTGTGGGGGTGAAATATGTTAAATCCTGGGGGTGCGGGGGGAAGTATGCCTGTAGGTTTTAGAGGTTATATGTTTCTTGTCTGAAATACTAAGGTAAAAGTCCTTTTCTATGTGATCTTTCTGGAAAAAGTAGCATGTCTGTTACATTGAAGCTGTCAGACTGAACAAACATGCTAAGTTGGTAGAAATTATTTTCATACATAATCAATACTATAGGAGTTTTTTGTAACTTGGTCTCTTTACAAATGCTTAAAATAATTTCTAATAAAAAAGACTGGATTCAAAGGAAAATTTATTTTGCCAGTTCTCTTCAACAAAAATCAGGAGAAAAATTTTTAATTTTCTTCTTGCAGGCCCGACATCTCATTGAAGAGCAAAATGTAATCACCACTATTACGGAGACACTCCTAGAAGTGCTTCCAGAGTACCTAGACAAAAATGACAAGTTCAATTTCCAAGGTTACAGTCAGGACAAACTAAACCGGGTATATGCAGTAATATATGACCTCAAGTAAGTGTAAAGCTGAGATGCTTGAGCAATTATTAAAAAATTGGCAGTAGGATGAGGTGTTTCAATTCAGAAATTTTATGATAAAACTGGTTTAAAAACAAACCCAAACGCCTCAAAACCACACATGAAACTCTAATGTTTTGGTTTTCAGTGGAAACTTAAAATTTTCAAATACCAAAATTATATTCTATAAAGACAATTTTTGATGATTTCCACTGATACCATGCCATATAACAATTACATTAATAAACAAAATATATCTACTGTAAGACAGTATGGGAAATTTGGCTTCTATTCATTATCATTCTGGGATAGCTGTATAATCCTCATCTGCATAGGATTTTCCACTCTTACAGGTCCCAGATTACTCTAATAAACTGAGTAATGCAAAAGCAAACCACCCCAAATACCTTTGAATTAAAAAAAATCTGTTAATTTCAAACAACGGAGTTGCACCAAGCAACTCTAGTGTTTGGTGAAAATTTTAAGAGGAGTTTGAGATGGAGAGGGTGATGTAATGTGATGATGCAGTTGATTATTTTAATGCAAAGAATACTTTAAATACAAGCATAAGCAGAAGGGGAGTTTGAGCAAAAGATGATAATGTTTTCTTTGGGGATAGGTATGTCTTAGTCAGCAAGCCTACACTGTGGACAGACCGTCTGAGGGAGCGGTTTTTAGAAGGATTTGTTTCTTTCCTAAGGATTCTAACTTGCATGCAGGTACAACACATTTAAATAATTTTTCTAATATGCTGTTATAAAGATATTACAGCACTTTCGTTTGCTCGTCTTTTTGTCCGTAGCAATATTGTGGATATAAACATGTAATTAAGATGGTAAATTCTTCAATCCCTGTCTTGGTGGGTGAAAAAGTAATGTTTACTTCATAGAAGTAATATTCATCAATTTTAGCTACATGTAGCTGAACAACCTGTATTTTACCATATGGGATTTTATGTTGTTTTAAGCCAGTGATCACTGATTTAGCTTGAGTACATTGTGGCATCTCCGTTTCAGGGAATGGAGGAGATAAAAAGACAGATTGGTCAGCACATAGAGGTGGACCCTGACTGGGAGGCAGCTATTGCTATACAGATGCAGCTCAAGAACATTCTTTTGATGTTCCAGGAGTGGTGTGCCTGTGACGTAAGTTGTCAGTTGTCTGGGATTCTTACATGAGTGCCTTTTGTGGATATTCCTGAGTGCTTTTTAAAAAAGCTCAGTATTGTTCAGTACAGATCTCCACGAAAAATAAGGCAGAAAGAATTAATCTGTGGCGTGACAAAGAGAGAAGGGAACTCAGAAGACTATAATCTTCTAGCTGACAAAGCTGTGCAGGGTGTCAGGCAAATCATAAAGAGAAAATACTTCTCCTAATTCAGGAGTTTGAGAATTAGGTTCATGGTATCGCTGTCAAGTTTTAAGGTTTTGAAGCACATGGTGTTCATTGTTAATTGCAAAAGTGGACTGCAGAAACTTTGTGCTAATTAGGTAATTGCACTGCAAGTATCCTTAATCAATGCTGGAGCTCATCCTGTGCTAGGGGAAGGGAGGAAATTATAAAAATTGTTAACTTAAAGGTATTTTAAAGTGGGTTTCTTTTCAGACAGGAAGAACTACAGCAGTTCAGGAGCTTCTTGATCCAGTCTATGCAGACTTCTGCATACCTTTATGCAAACTATGCAAAATATTGAAATGTTGTAGCTTAAGTAAGCACATAGATTTTGGAGCAGCTTTTTTGAACAGAAGCATAGTCTCAGTTAGCTTTAGTTGGATGCTCTACTGCTCCAGTTTAGTACTTCTTAGTATTAAGAAACAGCTTAGTAATTATATTGTGGATTTTTAGTAACTGTTTATGCTGTCAGAGAAAACAAGTGAGGAATTTCAGCGTATATATATGACTTTTAAATATAACACTATGCATTTATTTTAAATTCTAGGAAGAGCTGTTGCTCAAGGCCTACAGAGAATGTCATAAAGCTGTGATGAGGTGCAGCACAAATGGCCGCTCACGGGAAAAGACAGTGTTTCACTTGTGTGGCCATACTCTAGAGAGCAGACCTTACAGAGTGTCTGCAGATCCTGTCAGCATACATTTACCGCTGTCTAGGACTCTTGCTGGTAGGTGGTGTGTTTTGTTTTGATCGCTCTTTGAATTGCATTTATCATCTGTCTCTATTTCTTTATTCTAGAAAGCATTTAGATGAAGTGCTTCACAGATCAGCCGCACTCTGACTTTCTGACATTCTCATGATCAGGCAACCATGTTCCTCAGATATCCCACTAAGGAAAATGTTGTGTGGTTTTTTTTTTTTTTTTTCCTCAAAAAAACCCAAAAAACATTTGCCAGGGAGGTTGGAGAATTTTTTTTTTTAAACAAGAGAGAGATAAAGTCAGGCAAGAAGGAAAAGTTTCATGTTTTAATGAGAACTTCAGTTTTCTGTGGACTATTTGAATTTATGTGGATCTGTTTCTATTTCTGCCTGTTTTGCCTAAATGAATGTTCATTATTACTGTATCTTGAATTTATTTTCCAGCCACATGTATCTTAGGACTGTTAAAATGCTCCTCCTAAAAGGCATATGTTTGCAGCATGCCAGGACAGATTTCCAGTCAGAATACAAAGGACCACAGCAGTGGGTGATCGCCACTTTCTCTAGAATAGAAATGAAATCATATGCTATTATTAAGCTGTAGATTCTTTATCACAAGATACCATCTGTTAAGCCTTGAAGTCTTGAAATTCAGTTGTTACTGACATATGATTTAAATGTGAAATTAAAATTTTGTTAATACTATTTAGCATCTCAAATGGTTTTAATGAAATCATTAAATGAATAGATTTATTCAAAAAATAATGGATTATAAGACTGGTAAGAACAGTTGTGATAATGTAATTGATCTTCTATCTAAAAAACAAAACCAAACAAGCAAACCAAGCAAACAAAAACTCCAAACAGAAGTACCAAGTCTTTCCTAAATAAACTTTGACTTTTTTTCTGTAATTCTCTGAGTTGTAGATGATTTAGCTAACATTTGGAATGGGTTGGAGGAGAAACTTTACTGATTTTGATTTATTGTCTAATGTTTTCTTATTGGTTTTGTAGGTCTTCATGTACGATTAAGCAAGACTGGTACCATCTCAAGATTGCACGAGTTTGTTTCTCCTGTAAGATTCTTTGTCTCTTTTTTTTTATTATTTTTTTTATTCCCCTCAAACACTTACTGTGATTTTTACTCTGGGAAGGAAAAAGCCTAAAATTATATCCTCTAACTTTCATGACACACAAGTTATTTTGCAATTGTCAACATGTCTTTGTTTATTAGGACTTACACTTTTAAAATCACTGACAGACTTGTTCTTGCTTGATTTTTTTTCTTTTTTTTTTTTCTTTTTTGAATTCTAGGAAGAATTTCAAGTGGAGCTGCTAGTAGAATATCCTTTGCGATGTCTTGTCTTGGTTGCTCAGGTTGCTGCAGAGATGTGGAGAAGGAATGGGCTGTCCCTGATAAGCCAGGTACTCACTAAAATATTCAGTAGTGAGTTGGTCCTAATGATGTATGCAAGTGTTTCTCAGTAATGCTCCCAGTGGTGCTTTCATCCAGTGCAGAAAGAGGTCATGGGGGCTAGTCCTACACTAAATAGAAAGGCTTCTGGGTGGGAATTTAGATGACTTGATTCCATTTCTAGCTTCATCAATGTCTTGCCTCCGCATGGTAGGCAAATATTTTCATCTCTCTTATAACTGTTTCTGACTCTGTGAAATGGTACTGATGTTATAGATGTCTACGGTAAACTGCTTTCAGATCTGATAAAGAAATTGCTGCATAAGTACTATTAGTACTGTTGCTTCTAACATAAAATGTTAGAAGAATCTCTTGATGTATGGTAATCATTATATGCAAAAATTGAACTATTTTAATAATCTCATACTAAAGTTTTGAGTGCCATATAATTGGATGTAACAAACATTTTGTAATACTTGTGGGCTTTTTTTGTTGCAAGAGTAAAGATAGAAGTAAGAGCCTACCCTTAAGTAATTGTGTTTTGCCTGCTTTGGCTTCACCTTTTTTTTTTTTCCCTTTGGCAGAAATTTTCTGTGTTTACCTTTCACAGGACCCTTTGAAAGTAAATATTGGTAGTGCCCTGTAGAATTGTGTCTTTGAGAGCTGGGGTAGGAGAAGGAGGATGTTTTGACTTTAATCAGTAGCAGCGATTAGAATTATGTTGTCTTGGAAGGGGGTATGAAGAAGTATGGCATAGACTTTCTCTGGATAGGTGAAAAATAATTTTTCATTTCCACATTTGTTTTCAAAGAAACACAGGACTTTTCCTTACTCAATAAAGGTGCCATACAGTTTAAAAAAGCCTTAGACATTAACTGGTGCACATTTGATAGTGCATTACTTTACATTACTTCTCTACTTAAATTTTGTTTTCGTATTTCTCAGGTATTCTATTATCAAGATGTTAAATGCAGAGAAGAGATGTATGATAAAGACATCATCATGCTCCAGGTATAATGTTCTGAGTCATTGCTTGCTTGACTCATAAAATTTTGATGGAATTTCTTTTAATTTTAATTAATTGTATGATTTTAAAAAAATTTTCTTGGTAAAACAGTATTTTTCACAATTAATGAAGAACTGTAATAGTAACTGATATTCATATTCGTTTGGATTTTTTGATAGATAGGTGCATCTCTTATGGATCCAAACCAGTTCCTCCTGCTGATACTGCAGAGATATGAGCTTGCTGATGCTTTCAAAAAGATTAAGCCCACCAAAGATCAGGTAAGTATTTTTGCTGGTTAATTTGTTTGCTTTGAGTTTATGGAACATTAAAAAGAAAAACTAGCTATTGTTGATAACTGTATTTAAAAATACAGTTATGACCACACTAAAAGTCAGTCAACACAGGACCTAGTGGTTAGATAAATGATTTTGTATTCGGAATTTGTAGAGGCTTACTCAAAATTAGCAAACAGATTTTGCCCTCTTTGACCTTTATTTCATAGGGCATCTGCAAAAGTCCACATAAATGACTTCTCTGTAAAATTTCTGTGTCTCTTAAGCCATTTTACGTGTTCTTATTTTGGCTGGAAGTTTCTTGGATTGTCATGCTACTTCTTGTGGCTTGAACTTTCATATAAGCCTTCATTTGGGATACATTTTTAGCTGTTGTTTCTTTTCCTGTATGTGAATCTTGCACTTCAATTGCAGAATAGTATCTCCTCTACAGGCACAGGTATTTTTTACAGCTTGTTAGAATGGAGGTTTCTTCCAGTACAGTGCTTCAGCAAAGTAGTGCATCTGAAAGCTGAGCTCTCTGTCATTTGGCAGATTTTCCTGCATGTTTGTTTTTGGTATTATTTTTAAACTGGTTTCTCCAATTCTTGTAGGATTTGATCAAACAATGTAACGTGTTAATAGAAGAGATGCTACAGATTCTCATCTATGTTGTGGGTGAGTTTCATTTCTCTCTACTGTTGTCGTAATGGATTATTACAGTTTGACAGAACAGGTTTGATGACTTTCTTTAACATAATTGGTATGGAAAGGATACTGGAGAATGCCTGTTTTTAAATAGATTGTTCAGTAACACAAGTATTTGTCGACGGGAAGCAATAGGGGTTGCATAGTGAAAAAAGCTGTTAATTAACTTCATAATTGACTATTAGAGTAGAATATGAAGAGAAACACCACCTCAGGGCATTTTGTTAGTAAGCCAGGCTAAAAAAAAGGTTTTCCTCTCAGACACTTGGGATAGGCTTCTGCTGAATGCAAACTTATACTATGAAATATCCCAGCAATAGCATTACCTCTGTGTAATACTCAGAATTGCTTTCGAACTGTCATATTTGCTGCTCTTCTCCTTTTGATTCACTCTGGTAGGGGAAAGATATGTGCCTGGAGTGAGTAATGTGACAAAAGAAGATGTTATCATGAGAGAAATCATCCATCTGTTATGTATTGAACCAATGGCTCACAGTGCAATTACCAAGTCCTTGCCTGAAAATGTGAGTCCTGGTGTATTTACTTTTTTCCTTAATTTATTTTTTCGTGGTTTATGTCTTTTTTTTCTTCTTACATATCTTTATATGGAAGCATTTTATTTCTAATATGAAGCTCAAATGTTGGTTTCAGAATTAGAAAATAGCATGATAAAGGGTCTTGCGCACCCTACTGATGTAAAGGTGTATGTCATGGATTCAAGTACGGCCTAATCTGAAAAGGCTTGTATGGGGCTTGTGCTTTTTGATGAAGAGGTGGAATTTTTTTAGAATGTTCTCCTAGATTCAAAAAGAAAAGCTTTAAAATTATTTTCTCTTTTGGCCCTGTAGGACCATGCAGCTGGATTCCATTCTGCCCTGTGTGCCATCAATAAATTTGATCCTATAATTTTGATCACTTAAACTTGTGCAGGTCCTCTGAAAGACAAGTATTATACAGGTCTATTCGAAAGCACAGATTTCCCTGCCATTCTATTCCAACTGTTGAAATTTCAGGCAAAGGAGAAGGGTGTGGATTAGATTTTATAGCCTGTGCAAGTTTTCAGGTCAGGGCTGGCAACTGATGCAAAAACTTCAGTTTTATTGTAACTTAAATAGCCTGAAATATCATCAGAAATCAATAATGAGTGATCCACATTCATTGTTCTGAGAAACTAAAACTTGTTTTTCCCTTCACTGAGTTTGGGTAAGGCACTGCTCTGTTTCTGGAGATCAGCTCTGTTATAAATAAAATGTTACATGATTAAATGAAAGTATTATGTCTTTGGTACTTCCTTGTAACTTGTCAGTTATGAATATCTGATTTCTGAATAACAGTGGCTAAAATATATTAATTTATGAATTGGGGAATTGATCTAAATTTGTGTGTCTATTTTTTTTATACCTAGCATAATATTGAAGATATTTGAAACATTATATATTTATCCCAGACTGTTGGTTTTTTTTTTTTGTTTTTTGTTTTGGTTTTTTTGTTTTGTGTTTGTTTGTTTGTTTGTTTTGGTGGGTTTTTTTTTGTTTTTTTGTTTTTTACCAGGAGAACAATGAAACTGGCTTGGAGAATGTAATTGATAAAGTGGCTACATTTAAGTAAGTTCTTAATATTGTTTTGTAAGTAGTTTGAACATGAAATAAGATCTCTTGGATTATGTGGTTAAACAAGCTGCACTACACAGTCTCTGGTCAGCTAATGTTTTTGCTGTCTTGAAATATATATGCTTTCAAATATGCATAGGAAAGAAAAGTATGGAGTATCTGAAGCTGCTGCTTCTCTCCTTTTGCCCCTTTATTTCTTCAAATTCAGTTTTGGGTGTTTAGTAATCTCAACTCTTAGTGGGAAAATCTTCAAAAGTTCATTTTATTTCAAAGATGGTTGGGAATCTTAACAACTCATTGTGCCTTGGACAATTGCCACCTAATCATTAGATGTTATTTAGTTGCTAACTTGCTGTAACTCTCATATGGGAATTAATTTAAAAAAATAATATATGCAAATATAGAACAAACAGTTGTAGCAATTGAGGAAAAACTAGGTCAAATGTCTGCTTTTTGTCACAAAAATGTCTTATAACTTTAATTATTTTAGTTTACCTTATTTTAAATTTCATGTGGCTGGCTTATTTATGTGTAATCAAGGGCAACTATAGGTGTATCTAGGAATTTTGCTTTGGGAATTATGTGGAAGGTTCAAAAAATCTCACTGAGTGGAAAGTAGCCCTTTGTATTACTTGTTTTGTACCTTGGTTAAAGAAAGTAATAAATTTTATACATTAACATCCAATGTCTGATTCTAAGCCATAAAGTTAAAAAGAATTTACCTGTCAGAGGCTATATGGTGTACTGTAGATGGTATAGACTACAAATATTTTGCTGCTGCGTACGATTTACAGTAGTAAACAGTCTTGAAAATTAAAGACTGATAACTGTACTCATTCTATGCTCTTAAGTTAATGTGGCAGCCATCACTATTCCACTGTCTATTGGCTATTCCTTAGAAAATAAATTGTGTTGCTGGTTTGTTTACTTTCAAAGATGTCCTGAACATACATTATTAATCTGCATGTCATGAAATATTTCTCTGTAAGGAAACCGGGTGTGTCTGGCCATGGAGTTTATGAACTGAAAGATGAATGCTTGAAGGAGTTCAATATGTTCTTTTATCACTATACCAAGACCCAACACAGCAAGGTAAGCAGTGTAAGATTCACTCTCAAAGGTTAAAAAATAGTACATAATTATCAATGTCTAAAGAATTTTGCTGAATCAAAGGAATTAATGGAATCTAAAGAAACTGATTCAGTAAAAAGTATATGCAGCTAACTTCAAAACTAAATTTCTAATGAAGTTAAGTTTGTTAATACAAATTGATGTGACATGGTTTGAATTAGTAATTTCCCTATGATGACATCTGTATTAACTCCCGTTAACTGTTTATGCTAAGAACAAAATATTATAAGAATTATCTTTGAACTGGAAAACTCCAAACTTTGCTGTTATAACTCTTACTGAGGAAACAAGTATGTCCAATTACCTATCTCTACTACAAATTGAAGTGCAAAATCCAATATTGTTAAACAGATTTCAGACAAGATTCTAGTTACATGACCAAGTATTGACTATGTATCTTGCCGCATTTCTAGTTTAGGGTTTCTTATTTTTTCATTGCATGCTTCTGTAGAGATGCTGATGTAACAGCACTACTTTTTCTATAGGCTGAACATACACAAAAGAAAAGAAGAAAACAAGAAAACAGAGATGAAGGTAAAAATTTGAAACTGATGACTCAGCAAATGTGATAACTCAGCAGTGTATGTAGTTGTGCTTATAAAATGAGCTCTGGGAGATGTCTTGTGATTTAATCATGGATAGTTGAGTTCATATTTAATCTGTTGTGATTTGTAGTAATTGTAATTAATTAGAACCTAACATTTCTTTTCTATTTTCCCGTATTTATACAGTTGAGACATCTTCAATAGTACAGTCTTTTTTTTTTTTTTTTTATTTTTTTATTTCCCCTGTTCACTTTGGCAACTTAAAATGTTAGCAGGGATGTTTATTTTGTAGAACTTGTTAAAAATACAAATATTTAGATGTAATTGTCAGAAACTCACATTCATGTAACCAGACAATACAGTTCCAAAATACAAAGATAACTGTTTATGTTGATGTGTATTCTGCTGAGGCTACCCATTTTGTTGCAAATACTCCATACGTATGCTTTTATGTGGCTACGTTGTCTTTGTCAGTAACTTTTATTATAATTCGTTCAGTCTAAATTGCCAAAAGATTGAGTTTCAGAGACACTGCATTCAGAGAAGTTTTCTGAAAATAGGCACCCAGTTACCAAAAGAAGACTTAAGTCAGTGCTTCCAGGTAGGGAATTTTTTTGGTATTAACTGAGCTGCTGTCAGTAGATGCCAAGATTCCAGAGGGCTTCTGGGTGAGACACCACATCACACAGTTTCAATATTAGCTCAGAAAGCATACATAGCTAGTAATCATCAGAATGCCCCAGCAGGAGGAAAAATTTAGAGCTCTGGCCATATTAGGCGTGGGACACTAATATAAGACGCTGCACTCTGGAAGATCCACCGCTCGCTCTTGTTTAACTACACAAAAACTTTATATCTGATGGAAAATGCAATCACTATATGTTTGTTAGTGATACATGAATGGTCATGCAGTGCAAAGTATTTACAGATACAACTAAGTACTTGTGATTGACTGTTTAGTTTAGTTTGCATCTATTGTATGTAAGAACTTACTGAAAGTACTTAGTTTTGCTAAAGATAAAAGCTGGCTTAGGTGCACAATTGTGTTTGACTGTGTCTTTATTAATTTAAAGGTCCAGTTGTTCTTCCCTTGGAATTAGTATGTTTGTGCTCTCTACTTTTTGCCTGCACTCTTTGAGATGCCAGTTTGTTAATATATCTGCACATCGATGTTTTTTTAGCGATGCCACCACCTCCTCCTCCAGACTTCAGTCCTGCATTCAGCAACGTGGTGAGGATTCTGAACTGTGACGTTATGATGCACATACTGCGGACCATTCTTCAGAGAGCAGTAGAACTGGAAACCCATTTGTGGACTGAAGCTATGATCCAAATGGTATGGTTAGCTTTGGTTTTCTTCTTATGGTCATTCTTATGTTGACCATGTTAACTACTTACGATAAGATCAAAATGTGTAAAGGTAAACTTTAATTCTGAATGGTAAGATCTCACTTTTTGTCCCCAAACCTGTTTTTATAAATCTTATCGACAAACAAAATAATTCTAATTATTTATCTCCACTGTAAAATAGTAGAAATGTGAAACCTCAGTCATGAAATAATATAATTTTGTAAGTATTTAAACATTTCATTTTACCACAGTGACTTTATGCTTTAAAGAAGGGAATTACTGACATTGTTGAAGTATTTTTTAAAAAAATATTTATAGGATTAGGACCTGAATTTAAAGACTGGTTCAATTAATCAGTTTTATTAATTAGAGTGCATAGGTTATTTAATTGCCTTGCGTTACCTGCTAATCTTTGGATTATGCAATGAACCAAATATTCATAGATATGTATCACCAAAATGACAAGATTCATTATGTTACTAATGTAAAGTGTGTGCAAGTTTATTAATTTTAGTGCAAGTAATTTGCAGGAAAATGATTTTGTTCCACTTGCTATGATCTTTGCACTTTTTCTTGTTTCTGTGTTTTACCATGGGTATAATCAGCATATAGTACAGAACTATCTTAAACATCCTTATTTTATATGCCAGTTTTCCAGACCTCTAACAGTGAATGAGATTTACTATTTTTCTCTTTTTGTAGGTGCTTCATCTCCTTTCTTTAGGGTTACTAGAAGAGAAGCAACAGTTACAGAAGTCTCCTGAAGAAGAAGTAACCTTTGATTTTTATCACAAAGCAACACGTATGTTTCATTTTCTTTAAAAGGGCAGAGTAAATTAGGCTAACGTGATTTTGTTAAGGACAAAAATAAAATAGAAGAAACTATTCAGTTAATTTAGTGCAATGGGATTTACTTTTTCTATAGAATTAAAACCTGCTGAAGTTGGTTTGTGTTTTTTTTCCCGCTTTCTCCTCCTCCTCCTCCTCCTCTTTCTCCTCCTCCTCCTCTTTTTTTTTTTTTCTCCCCTTTTTTTTTTTTTTATTTAAATAACCAAGAAACCAGGTTTGGACGAGGTTCCTTTGTTCCCAATTGCCAGGTATTTTGAAGAGCAGTTGTGCTTCTCTTCCTGGGAAAGAAATGGAAAAGTAATACTAGTGTTAGATAACTGAAAATGATTCTTCCTTCGCAAGAACATTAGTGACATGGAAATGTCTTGAAAAATGACAGTGGATTTAAGTGAATGGTCTCCATCTTTTGTACTACTGAGCTGTACAATTATTGGTTTACCTGCAAGCTAAAGTCTTTTACTATGGTAGTGATAATAGAAGCAAAATTTAGGGGCTGTGAAATGTGCTTTTTTTTTTTTCTTGATTTTTCCAAATCCCTACAGAGTACTTCCTAATCTTACATTCAAGACTAGTGAGTTGGAATCTAAATTTTCTAAATAATCTTCCATCTTATCTAGAGTTTCTGTTTCACTGTGTAAGAATGAATTAAAAAAAAATCCATTATCAAGCTAAATGTAATTGTCACTTGAGAGATAAAACGGAGATAAGAATTATGAATTAAAATCATAGAATCGTTTAGTTTGGAAAAGACCTTTAAGATTGAGTCCAACTGTTAACTCACTGCCAAGTCGAGCACTAAACCATGTCCTGAAGCACCACATCTACACATCTTTTAAATATCTCCTACATAAATAAATACATAAAGATGCTGAGCTGCCTTTATTTAGCTTTTCAAAAAGTTTGTGTAAAGAGGTGTCACTGAGTTTGAAAAACACTTCAATTTCACATTTTTTAAATTTTTTTGTGTTGTTGAGCAAGAAGTATTATCATCACACTGAACATATTTCTGTTTAATAAGCTTTACGTCAACTATAGGAATACACTAAAAGTAATTACGATTGAAACATTAAAGAATTTTTTTGCCTACTTTAGTTTTGTATAACCAGAAAAAACAAAGCCCTATTTATACATAAGGGATGCAGAAATAATAGGTATTTTTCTAAGAAAACTCTTACTGAGAATTGATTTAAAAAGAAACAAAAAAATTTTTATAATGTATCTCTCACTTCTAGAAATGTGCAAATTAATTTCAAATGGAAAGTGCTGCAAAAGAAATACGATTGAAGAGCATGGTCTCAATCGTAAAGCATGCTAGTGTTAGACAATGGCCTAAAATATTATGAACTGTTACCACGGTGTAAGATAGCAAATAATTACTGTAATTATAATAGGTTTTTATGATAGAAACAAATTTTGCACACTGAGCTGTCAGCAAACTTACGTAATCTACTAATCTACTTTACTGCTTCTCCTTAAAGTGAAAGGCAATTCTGGTTTTGTCTGTCCTTCTGCTCTTGGCAGTAGCAACCTACTGATCTACAAGGGGAAAAGATTATGCTACGTTTAACTGGAATAAACAGATGAAATTAAAACAGAAATGCAGCTACACAGGTTATGTTCATGTGTTTTATATAACTAGCAATATTTTAAGGCATGTCCATGGTTGTAAATACATGAAAATGTTGAGTGGGTTTGTTTTTTTTTTTTAACCTGAAGGCCCATGCTCTTCTATTTTTCTGTCCTTTGTAAAGGAATGGGGAGCTCGGCCTTGAATGCTGTGAATGTGTTAATGCTTCTGGAAAAATTAAAGAGAGTTCCTCAGTTGGAGGCACAGAAGGACACAGTCAATTGGATACTGCAGGTAAACAAGGGAGAGATAAGTATGATCTGACTTTAGTAATTTAGAAAGTGTTTATGAATGATGTTATGATTCCCACAGTGTAAACTGTGTGTACACGGTTTTTAACCTTCTCAAGAAATCATTGGAGCTGTAACCTGTTGGGATGTTTTTTCCTCCCAGACAAGATGAGGTTTCTTGAATCCAACTCCCTGCCCTTACCCAGTAAGAGATGGGAAAAACTTCTAGACCTGTAACACCTCCTCTAATGTAGGAGGCTGCCGCTTCTGCTTAGCAGGAGTGCTACTGTCCTGTTCCATTTTGGGCTTCTTGTTTTAGGTGGCAAACACAGAAGACATTGCTCTGAGAAAAGAGGGTAAGAATCCATAGTAGGGTTCCAAAACTATCCTCAGCTACTAAAATTGGACTATGCTGGTACATTAGAGAGGCAGGTTTGAAAGATTTTATTGAGAAGTTATACTTCTAAAATTCTAAGGACAAAAGTAAAAATGTACTTTAAAATGTATATTTAACTTTTTAATGATACATACAGTAAATGTAGAATATCAAATATTATCAAAACTTCAAGATGCTTATTAAAGTAAAGATAGCTGGAGGAAGTAGTAAATAAAAATTGAGGGCTCAGTTTTAACTAGCTGGGCATATGCTGGAAAGCTTTCTGTTCCAGATGTATAGGTTTTTACGTTATTTTAGTGACTATTGCCATGGGATGATCCAAATCTCACCTACTTGAAATAAGCTAGCAGTCTCTCTCCGTTCTTCTGATGTACAGATGCTTTAGGTGCTTAGCAGTATTAGTGCTAGAAGACTGGGCAGTGCTCATCAGATTTAGAGTACAGACACAGCAGCGTTACAGGAGTGCACACATGGTCTCAGTTAAATGTTTTTGTTATTTAGGAGTGTGGCAATTGGTTTCATCCATTTGGAAATCTGAAAATAACATGAAACTAAGTATCAAGAGCTTTAATTCTGTCTGTATTGTAATAAGAACCAAGTTGCATTCGATTTTTAACATCTAAGTGTCTATTCCTAGATGTTTGACACAGTGAAAAGATTGAGAGAAAAATCTAGTTTGACAACAGTACCAGCTACATCAGGCTCAGAAGCTACAAAAGGTGATGAGGTAATACTAATGTTCAGTGGAAGCCTTGTATTTAATGTTTTGAATGGCTGTTTTCAAGAAGGTTACCTAAAATGATAGTTTTTTAAATATTAATTTCTTATATGTTGCCTACAGGATTTAGTTTCCAAGTTTAATATTTTTAATATTTGAGTATTTTTAATAAATGAAACTTATGCTAAGCATGTTTCATGGAATTATCAGCAGCTAATTTGGTTTTGGTTGTACTTCCAAGTCAAGTGAAACAACTGAAGAAGTAATTTGTGTTCATTTCTCCATTTCTTATCTTTATGATTTGTTCAGCTTTTCTATTATGTTGCCATTGTGCAATAATTAGAAATATAAATCCACTTAAAATGATGTCTTATAATTTATGTGACCTACCAAGAGGTTAATCTGCTTTGCTTGATTGTATAAAGGTATCGGGTTTAAGTGATTATTCTGTCTGTATCAGTCTATACGCTTCCCTCAAAATAACTTTTGAATCCAGTGGTCAAATGACACTGTGAAATGGAGATTTCAAAGATTACTGGAGTCCAATAAGTGTTTGTTTTGTTAGGGTTTTCTTTTGTTTGTTTTTGCTTCATTTTTTAAATTGGCAGTTGAATAGAAAAGAAGAATCCAATTACCCTCGGATAGTGTGCAAAGACAGTCCAGTTTGCTCTTACACATTCTGTTTGGCAACAGCTTGCTGCCAGACAGTCTCTTGGCTAGTCATTGCATGCATAGTTCTAAACTTATCACAGCATATGCTGTCTTTCTTTTTTGAGAAAGATGTCATATGATATCTGGTAAGGTAAGGGAACAAAATACAAGAGTCAGTAAGAAATGAGGCTCTTACAGTTCCACTGCTTGTGGAGCAATTTGTTGTTGTTTCATTTCCTCAAAAAGTAATGGTATCGTGAATGGAAGCAATGTGTATAATGTTGAATTTGTGCCTTAAGTAATTGAGTAAGAGGAATTAGGTTCTATATGTTTTAATTAATTCTACCTGTGTTTTTTGAATTCTACATTTCCAAAGCATATAAATACTTTGTTCATAGCTTTTGAAAACGTAATAGATGAGGAAATGCTGGAAGAATAATAGTTTTCCAGTCTATAGTAAAGAAGAATGGGGGAGAATACAACCCTCAGATGCATAAAATGCTGCCAATGTAGGAACAGTCTGTTTGCCGTGTTGTCCATAGATAGTTCAAGACAAAATTTCCTTAAATTCCTTTAAGGGAGATACAGAATACTCAGTAGGGGTTTTGCTTATGGGGGGAATAACAAAACTCTGGAGGAGGCTTGTGATGTTCACCTCACTAAAGTTTCTTAAGAACAGACAAGCACAAATGGATCAGGTGATATTGATTCTGTCTTTCGGCAAGGGATTGTCCTAGTGACCTTTTGTGGACCCCTCAAAATCTCTTCGTTCTGACTAGGTTAATGCACTAGATTCATTATTTCTAACTAGGTTAATTTAATATTTTAGTTTTACATTTTTCAGATATCAGTTAAGGTTTTTTTTAAAGTGTTGTCAGTTAAGGAATTTGATGTCAGTGGTTAGAATGCATACAGTTGGGGAAAAATTTCTTCTCATTTCTTGATGTTCTCTGTTGCCTGTGATTTCTTTATTCGATTTAATTGTAAGACACAGAGCACTCAGGATAAAGAGAAAGCTGAACGGAAGAGAAAAGCAGAAGCAGCTAGGTTGCACCGTCAGAAAATAATGGCCCAGATGTCTGCACTGCAGAGGAATTTCATAGAAACCCATAAGCTCCTGTACGAAAACACACTGGAGGCACAGGGGAAAGAAGATGCTGTCAGAAGATAATGGCCCAGATGTCTGCACTGCAGAGGAATTTCATAGAAACCCATAAGCTCCTGTACGAAAACACACTGGAGGCACAGGGGAAAGAAGATGCTATTATGGAGGAAGAAAGGTAAGAAAAAACAGACATCCGGAGTTGTAGTGGGAAGCGTTCATTACCTGCTACGTAAGTTCAGTACACTACATAAAAATTTCGAGAGTACGTTCAGTGGACAGATTGTGTTATCCCAGTCAGCAAACTTGTGTCTCTACTTAGTTTTAAGTCATCTTCTGTTACAGAATTATACATAAACTAGCATGTGTATGCTAATGTAAGAACAGTGGACTCGCTGTGTATAACAGTGTAACATAAACTATAAGAAAATTCGTTATTTCTTCAAGTGGTGGATAGTTATATTGCTTAGCATCTGAAAAAATGTCATTAGAGTTGACAACAGTGTAATTTTGGAGGTGACTGTCTACCTTATATGAAAATTTAAGTATTTAATTTGGAAAGAATCTGAAAGCCAGTATGCATTAAAGTTAAGTTGTGATGAAGAAGATATGCTTCTTGTAGCTCAAGTTGCTGATATTTCT